GGAGAACTCAGGAAGAAAAGATTTGGAGTTTTATGACAGAATTTTACACCCAGTCCTTCCACAGTTTAGGTGTTGGAGGGTGGGGACTCCTGTGATTGATATTTCCATTGAATACCCCTCAATGCCCAGCAAGGTAGCAGCTCTGCGTATGGATAATGATAAATGCATTGATGATAAAACCTAGGCGTAGTAAGGCTAAATTCAGGACATGGTCTGGAGTGGGTTAAATGGTAACACCCTTTCCCTCCATGAAAAGATATGTGCACCTGAAACTTATGAATGTCACCTTCTTGGAAAAAGAGTCTTTGCAGATATAATTAAGGATCTTGAGAGGTGACTCTTCCAGATTAGGCTGGGCCCTAAATCCAATGGCACATATCTTTATGAGAAAACACACAGACAGAAGAGGCGGCACAGAGGAGAAGGCTGTATGAGGATGAAAGCAGAGATTAAAGCAAAGCATCTACAAATGAAGGAACACAGAGAAATGCTGGCCAGAAGTTATGAGGCATGATGCCACACAGATCTCATCCAAAGAATCCTTAGTGAATAAAGTAATTTATTAATTAATTTGAAGGGCCCCCATTTTTTTTATAACATCAGAGCACTGAGTGAATGAGGATTTCAACCTTAAAAATTCTAGGAATGTGTATTCTACAGGCAGAATAAAAGAATAAAACAAGAGAAAGACACACAACATTTTTAATGTTAGTTTATTTGTTTATTAGACTCCACATATAAGTGAAATCATACAGTATTTGTCTTTCTCTGACTTTTAACAGTTCTTGTAATACTGGTTTGGTGGTAAGAAACTCATTTAGCTTTTTCTTGTCTGGGTTTCTCAACAGAAACATTTCAGGCCTAAAGAGATCGGCATGAAATACTCAAAGTGATGAAAAGCAAGGACCTACAACCAGGATTATTTTACCCAGCAAGGCTATCACTAAAAGAGAGCGAGAAATAGACACAACTTTAAGCAAATGGGGAAAAAAACTACAGAGAAATGTTTTCAGGACAATCTTCCTTTTGACCTACATTCCACCTTTCTGGGGAGGAAAGCAGCAAACCTCACTTACTCTTTTCTACTCCAAATCAAACCTGCACTTGACATAATGTACAAAGAGCCTTTATCTGATAGTCACTATTCGAGGACCCCATTACCCATATGTTTAAGAGGAAGATGAACTTCAGCTGTTCAACCTTCCTCTACCAGTAGACTGTTGTGTTCTTTTTCTGCCTCTCTGTCTTGGCTCCACTAGCTCTGAATGTTTATGTAGTGAAGGGTGGAAATGGAAAGGGTGCTAACCAGGAATCTGGACAGGCTCCTGGTTTCATAAAGCACAAATGGAAATGTATATAAACTCCTTATATCCAGTGGACTCCATGCTAACTAGGAAGCACCTTGAGGAATGAGAGTAATCTGGGGAAGAATGAGTTTCATAACAAAATATCTAAAATACTTAGTATAAAACTGGTGACTCCAATGACAAATGCAAAGGGCAGCAGTAAATGCCCTTATTTCATTATCCTGCTTTCCATGTGTTTCATTTTTCAAGAAATGTCTTTGTGGGCATAATTTTTTTAAAAATACTTGGAAGAAAGCCACTTTAACTGTGTTTAGAAGCCAAATGAATACAGTAGTCCCTAGAACTGAGATGCAGAGGGCATTGTACTGCATGAATCAAAGTAAAATTAAGAATCTTAAGTGACTCATAGGGTTGGCCACTCACTCTGTATAAGTGCTAATTTGAATGAAATATGGACCTGAATGACATTGTCCTCATCAGTCACTGAATGTATTAGTGTAGCATACTAATTATTTGAGTGTAATTTTCAATTGCTACACATTTTGCAAATGCATATTTACTTTTATTTTTGTTTGTATAAGGGGCAATCATATTATGAGATGAATGAGGTTTTGGTTTGGTAAAGGCATCTTTCATGCATATATTGCCTACAAAATAGATTCTCCTTATAAGAAGCCAAACTCTACCCCAGGAAATGTTCTTTGTGTGAAGTAGAAATGACCCTGCTCTTCAAATTTCTCTTTGTGGTTATTGTCTCATGAAATATAATTATTCACAATTTTTGTGTGAAAGTAGACTCCTTCTAGATATTGTGCTTCTTTATGTTGTGCTTAAGATGATTACAATAAAAAGGAAGAAAATGGATGTTCCTGATGTATTTCAAGACAAGAGTGGGCCTTAGATATCCACGGTTCCCACTTGCCATCTCCTTCTAGCTGGGAGGTCTCCCAAGAAGATACTCAGAGACTGAATCATCTGTAGTTGCTTCTTATTAAGGACTATGGATATGTCGAAAATGCATACATTATTTATAATGAATGGCATCTGGTAATGCTGTTATGGTAGATCACTAGCTTTTCTAGTCAGGATATTTTCAATAAAAGTATAGATTTCCTCATATCATAGAGGCTAGAATATGAGCAATGCTTCTTATGAAGATACATGTAGACTAGAACTGGAAATCTGTCAGAAATTAGAGGAGTTCTAGGTCCTACTACTCTCTGTCTCTCATGAACAACTTAATCTTGCTCATGGGGTTTCCCCATGTCCCCATATACTCTCTCCATTCTTCTCTATCAACTCTATTTATTCATAATATTTTTTATTATGTCATAGGCATGGGGAGAAATCATGGATGTCTCAGACTCACTCTAGTAAGACCTTGCTGCTTTTATTCCCACAACTAATCACTTGTTTTTGTTTCTTTGGGTTTTCTAGTTCACGTGGCCCAGAAAGGAAATTTGATTGGCCTAGGTCAGCATTTTCTTCTTTTTAGTTTTTAAACAAGTTTTATAAGGAAATTCAAAACTAAATTAACTAATTTTAAGTATACAACTCAATACTTTTTAGTAAACTTATAAAGTTGTGCAACCATCACTGTAATCCAGTTTTAGGATATTTTATTAACTCAAGAAACTCCCTTGAGACTTTTTTGCAATCAATCCCATTTGACCTTCAGCTTGAAGCAAGCACTTGTCTGTTCTTTTTTCCTACAAAAATGTTCATTCTGGATATTTTATATAAATGGAATTACACAATATGTCATGTTTTTGGAAAGGCTTCTGTCACTGAGCTTAATGCTTTTGAGGTTCATTGACCTTTGTTGGCACCCAACCATTTGTGGCTATGGAGGAATAGAGTATCACATGTATCAGTATTTTGCTTTTTTAAATTGCTGAATAGTATCCCATCATATGGATAGCCCGTGTTTTGTAGCATTCCAAATCCATTCCAAATGGAAGATCCAATAGAATATTCCATTTCATCATTTGAAGGCTATTTGGATTATTTCCAGTATTATGACTAATGTTACTATTAACATTCATTATCTCAATAACACCCTGTCTCGATTATTATAGCTTTAGAGTAAGTTTGGTAACTGGCTTGGGTAAGTCCTCCAAACTTTGTTCTTTTTGAAAGGTATTTTTCCTATTTCAGGTCCTTTCCATTTCTATATATGTTTTAGTATCAGCATATCAATTTCTAAAAAAAAAAAGAAAAAAACTTGCTGTGATTATGATAGGGACTGTACTGATATATTAATTATTTATCAACTTGGGGAGAACTGTTATCTTAAAATATTGAGTCTTCTAATCCATGAATATGTAATGCCTCTCCATTTAATTAAATTATTTAATTTCTCACAGAAATGTTTTGTAGTTTGGTGTACAAATCTTACACTAATATTGTTAAATTTATTCTTATATATTTTATCCTTTCTCATGCAATCATAAATGACATTATTTCCTTAATTTTATTTTTAAATCATCATTGCTAATATATAAAAATATCATTTATTTTTGTATATCTTATATCCTGTGCAATGAAACATCCTTTATTAATTCTAGCAGTTTTGGTGGATTCTTGGACTTTCTACATAGACAATGATGTAGTCTGCTAAGAAAAGATATTTTGTTTTCCTCTTTCTAGTCTGAATAAATTCATCTATCTGTCTGTCTCTCTCTTTATCACCTTATTGCACTATCTAGAATCTTTGATTATAATTTTGAACAGAAATGGTGAGAATGGACATCTTTGCTGTGTTCCATAACTTAAGAGAAAAACATTGCTTCTCAGTCTTCAGTACGATGTTTGCTATATGTTTTTCACTGATGTCCTTTATCAGTGTGAAGAAATATCATTTTATTTCTAGTTTATTGAGAGTTAGTGTGTGTTTAATTTTGCAACTATTTTTCTTTTCCTACCGATTCTATTAATATGGTGTATTATATTACTTGACTTTCATATGCTAAACCAACCTTGCATTCCTGATAAACCCCACTTATTCATATTTTATATCCTTTTTTATATGTTATTGAGTTTGGTTTGCTAATATTTTATTCAGAATATTTGCATCTATATATATGAGGGATTTGGTCTGTAGTTTTCTTAACTTGCTTTTTCTCATTATTCTTTTCTAGCTTTGGTATTAGGATAACACTGGCCTCAGATAATTACTTATGCACTATTCCCTCTTCTACTTCCTGAATTTGAAGAGAATTGCTATCATTTAAAAATATATATATTTTACAGAATTCACAAGTGAAGCCACCCTGCATGGAGTTTTCTTCATGGAATGATTTTAAATTTCTAATGCAATATCTATAATTGTTTTAGGTCATTTCAGACATCTTATCTTTTTGAGTCAGTTTTAGCAATTTATTTCTTTCTAAGAATTTTCCCATTTTATCAAACTTGTCTAATTTGTTGTCCAAGCTCACATTTTTGTACCAGATATCATAGATGACTTCCCACTATTGAATTGATCTTTGTTGGCACCCAACCATTTGTGGCTATAGAGGGATAGAGTATCACTGTACAAAGCAAAGTTGCCAAATGGTTGTCTCATTTGGTAGAGACTAGGAGGAAATATACAGGGGGTGTGATTCTTTGGTAGCAATGGTCTAGACAACAATGAGTCTAATTCTATTTAACACACTAGTTTAACATTTCAGCACAAAATCTTATACTTACTCTTGTGTTGGGAACTTTGTAATGTTGAAACAGCATTTGGAAGTGTAAGATTTGTCACTGTTGTACTTGGGGTGGTCAACACTTTCTTCGTTGAAACATTGGTTGTGGCTTCTAATTATGTAAAAAGAACCAACAGTCATCAGAGTTAAAACCAATCACCAGATAGTCTCTTCAGTACTCATATTAACATCCAGCTACAACTTAAAGATTAGTTACTGAAAGTCTTCTAATCAACATTTAGAATTTCAGCATTTTGATGTCTATCTTTTGGTGATCCAGTTAATTACATTAAAGAAACTAAGAGGCACATTAGACTCTCTTATATGCTTGCAATAGGTTATCTCATTTAATTATAATAGTAATACTATGAATTAATAATTGTGATAATAATTTTATATATAAGAATCAGAAAATTTAAATAATTCCCTCACAGTCACATAACTTATAGCAGAAGAGAGCCAGGATCTGTATCCAAGTATTTCTGGTGCAAAAGTTAACCACTTGACTACCCTAGAAAGGGGATGGTAAGGAAGTGGTGATAGTTCAAGATGGTATCATGGTTCCCATGCTGTCCGGGAAATCATTTTAAGGTAGGTGAAATAGCCAGGAGGAGCCTGGCCAGGCGTGGCTCGGCAGTTGAGTGTCGACCTGAGATCTGGGCAACTGGGGTTCAATTCCAGGTCAGGGCACATGCCTGGGTTGTGGGCTTGGTCCCCAGTCAGGAGCGTGAGGGAGGCAGCCGATCAATGACTCTCTCATCATTGATGTTTCTCTTTCTCTCTCTCTCTCCCTCTCCTTTCCTCTCTCTGAAATCAATAAAGATATATTTAAAAAACAAACAAACAGACAGCCAGGAGGAGAGGGATAACAGGAAGTAAATAGAATAAACTTTTAATTATACCTCATTTATTTTTTTAAAAAGAAAACCACAAAGATAAGCCAAGCTTTCAAAAATAACATTGGAATAAGTTTACTTGAAACAATCTATATTTGCATAATATTATAAAAACAAAATGATTGATGCCCTTCGTTTTTTCAAATTCCAGTATGGGGAACATTGTTTAGTGAAGAAAAGGCCAGCATTCAAGTTAGTCCAAGCTTAATGTTAGCCAGATAGGATGTTGGCCAAAGATGGGGGAAAGCAATTTAATAGATTTCTATCTCAAAGTCAGCTGAAACCCGGAATTGCTGGTGCCTTCCAGAAGTGTTAATCAATATCATGTAATGCAATTCTTAGTGCAGTTGAGATACTTATGCTAGAGAAATTAATAGTTTCTCACATGTGGCTAAGTATGTCTTCAGACAAAAAGCCTCCAGGAATTGGCATGCAAACAAAAGTGAAATAAATTCAAATATAAGCTATAGCATTAACTCTGCACATGAGAAATAATAAGTGAAATTGGGTATAAACTTCAGAGGCATCTTGAAGGATTAATCTGAAAGGAAAATAACTGAGGGAGTAGAGAAAAGTCTTATCGTAGCAAAAAGGCAGAAATCAATGTCTGATAGCATGAATGTGGGAAGGTCACTCAAGGTACAGAAACTCAATATTAGAGGATGGAGGTACATGTGGGGATAAAGATTTTGATTCTCAAGAGAATTTTTTTTTAAATGCTTGGAAAATATCCTAACAGAAGATTCTCTTCAGAAATCTTTGGAGAAGAATTCTGTTGAGTTAAAATTGGAAAACATGAAAAAAACCACCCTGATGGCCTAAAGAATTTTGTAGTATGAAGAGAACTCAACAGTCTTGTTGATAGAAAGAGAATATACAGCTAAGAAAGATGTGGGGAGCTGCCAGATTAGAAAAATACAAACAAAATAGTAGAATAATGGAATAGCTGGGGATGCAACACCAAAGATTTTGCTTAGAGAATTGTGCATTTTTTTTTTTAAATTTTATTTTCAATCCTCACCAGAGGATATTTTTTCCATTGCTTTTCAGAGAGAGTAGAAGGGAAGGAGAAAGTGAGAGAGAGACATCAATGTGAGAGAGACACATCGACTGGTTGCCTCCTGCACATGCCCCACCTGGATCCAGGGATCGAGCCTACAACAGAGGTAGATGTCCTTGGCCAGAATCAAACCTGGAACCCTTCAGGGGCCAACGCTCTAACCACTAAGCAAAACAGGCTAGGGTGAGAATTGCCTATTGTTGATGTGGAATATACTTCACAAACAAGAGTAGAATTCAAGTTTACACTCAATTCAGAACAAGTTTCAATTACACAGTGCCAATTAGGCAATGGAAGGAATCTTGAGTGCTTTGAAGGTAATCGAAATATTTTTAAATATCCATGGTGGACCTAAAATGAATAGAATAAAAGATGTGGAGACAGACACTGCCAGAGCTGTAAATTCTCAGATTTTACTAGTGTACTGAAATGTTTCAAATCTTGTATTAACATCTTGATGGGATAATTGTCCTAATTGCATTTTGGGTTCACCCATAGTAGATTCTGTGCTCCTGCCAAAACTGACTGCCTCCTCAGACTAAAAAAAACCCAATCTTAAATCTGTTCTGCAACATATATGGTTTGCTCTCTTTCAGTTTTTCTGTCTGAC